TATATCTGCATATGTTCCATGGATGCTAATGAGTATTTTAAGAAAAAAGGGTTCTTGGGTCAAATAAGTCTGAAAAGCTCTGGATTTCTGTAGGAATTCTCAAAGACTTTAAAATGCTAATATGCATTGTCAGTTTTGAAATAGAGTAGACAGCATTATTTGAGCTTAGAATCCTTTTTTGCAGAGAAATTTAGAAGGACTGAGGTTCTGTGAAATTCACACTGAGAAGTACTTGTCTAAACCGTTCTCAAACTTTGAGGATTTTTTTTCCCCATACGAATGTCAATCTTTGAAACTCCAGAGAAAGAGAGTCTCAGGCCCCAAGCATAACTCACTTCTGACTCTCACAGTCTTCATAGTTAAGCTGCCCTCCTTGTGCACTTTATGTAGATATTCCTGTGGCAATTTTAGTCTCTTGTTGCCCTCAAGGAATGACAGAGCCACTTTGTGGAAGGAGAGCCCCTCCCGGGCCTCAGTTCCAGCACTAAACACTATTCCAGGTTCTCCTATGCTGTAAATTCTCCCCTCCAGATCCATCTCGCATTAATCTCTGCCTCATCTCCACACTCTTCCAAGGGGCCACCTTCACCCTCAGCCATGGGACCCAGAATGGATGTCTGCCCTTCAGCAGGGCCTGGCAGCTCTAGGCTGGCTGAGGAAAAGTTGGTGGGGCTATTACAGAAAGCTGAGTATTCTGATCCAGTGGGAAAGTCATCTTTTCCCTCTCGTTGTTGGAGAAAGGCTGATTGAGGGAAGCTAGAAAGCAGGGACAGACAGTGAGTGGCCCAGCCAAGGTGGTCCCGCCCAGGATAGAGTTCCTGTAAAGCACCCTTCCATTGTGTGCCGTCTGGTGACTACAGTAAACTGACTTTTGGAGCAGGGACCAGGCTGTCTGTGTACCCATGTGAGTATGACCATGCCACTGACCAGAGTGAAAGGAACTGATGACTTGTCTATGAGAAAACAGGCAAGGATTTATAGCAAGCTTGGGGATATGTGAAGCACTAATTTTCCATTTCTCCAACCTCTCGTGGTGACCTAAGATGTTCCCATTTCTCATATGAAAGTCAGAAGTGAAAAGAGCCAATTGAGTACATAAAAATCTGAGCAGAATAATTTACAGAAATATAAAAGGAGTTCCAGATACTCAGTGCTTTCTATAATATCAGCACCAGATAATCTGAACATCCAGGAAATTAGCTAAGTGCTCTTGGGAAGGGGGCAGTTAATGGCAAGCACAAATTCTCTTCTATTCCAGCAGGTAGCTAAAATTCTGTGGGTTGGCTAATGAGCATAGGTCAGGGATACTTGCTCATAGAGTCTTCCTTTCTGGAATTCACTAGAGTCATGAACTTTCACCCCAGGCCCTTATTTAGAGAGCAAGTGCCACATGAAATAACAAAGTATGGAGGCAGAAATGAATAGGGAGGATGACAGATCTGGGGAATATTCTGACACTACCCTCAACAGGTGCATTTAATACAACCTCCAAGCTTAACAGCAAAATGACAATAACCACATCATAATGTAAGATAATGCCCTGTATATAACAAGTAGTCATGTGGGCACTTTTCTAATATACTGTTATTATTTTCATGGCCTTGTTATAATAAAGTTTATATTACTGCAAAGGAAAAGGGGAAGAGCTTCCTTGGGAAACAGGAGATCTAAGAAACCAAGACCTCGAGAACATTTTAAGACAGTGCTCTGAGGCCCAGTGGTTCCAGCAGATTAGCATCAGGAAGGTTATCACAAAGACCTTACCTGAAGTGGGGGTATGGCAGTGGTAGCAAGCTAATCTTTGGAGCAGGAACCAGAGTGAGCATCCAGCCAAGTAAGTAGAGTGGGACAGTGGTGGAATTCACAGGTATTTCTTCTTTGTCCAAGATACTGATTTAAACCCAGGTATTCTCTTCCTCAGAATCCTAAGTGGTTCTTTCTTCCAGTCCCCAGAAAATCCTCCCATTTCCCACTAAGTTCTCTGGAGACATTACCCTTAAGACAAGGAGGCAGATGATAAGTTTGTGGTCCTGGATCTTCCAAAAGAGGATACAAAATATTGTTCCCCTGATCAAGGGATTTTACTGAATTCTTGGTTTATGGAAATCTCGCAAACTTCCAACCTCAACTCAAGGTACCAGAGCAGAAGAGAGCAAGAGAAGAGAACTGTACATACCGGAAATAAAATTACAATACAATATAACAGAAAATCTAACTCTTAGGAGTGTGACTATCCTATGGGAGATCAGTGCTTCTATTTAGTAGTTAGATCCCATGAGTTTCTGTAATGGTGTCCCCTGTAGTGTGAACACCGGAGGAATGGCTGGTAAACTCATATTGGGGAAAGGGACCCAAGTGTCCATAATAGCTGGTGAGTCATCCCAGGTGGAACCATTTACAACCTCTCCCCATGGCCAGTGTCCTTCATCCTTTCCTTGGGGACATCCATCATTACTGTGGTGAGGCTGTGATTGTTGCAACTGTCTTACAGAGACCTGGGAAGGGAAAAGGCATCACTGTCAATTGTGAATATCTATGTTTCTCTGGGTCAAACACATTAAAATTTGACTTTAATCATGCAATGTATTTTTTAATGCCTTCTAAGTGGCTATCACTCTATAAGATCTCAGACTAAGTGGGAAGAAGCCTAAGATATACCTGACCTGTCCCCAGATAGTACAAGACTAGCCAAAAGTACAGAAGCATTGCATACTTAGCAACCTGAAAAGTATTTTAGCCTTAACATGAATGATGTCAATAGGCACAACAGATTCAGATGGCTTAGGGTCCTGGCTGAAAAGTTGCCCTAGACCAGTGGTGGAGAAGCTATGGCATGCAGCAGACACACAGAGCCCTCTCTGTTGGCACATGAGCCAAGTTGCCCCAGCATTGCCCTGTATTCAGGTTTAATTATGATAAATAAGTGGATTTGGGGTTGCACTCGGTCTCTAAAAGGTTAGCAATCATTTTCTGTGGTAGGAAGGATTCATTAACCGCCGAAGGGTTGGTACAGTCTGTGTGTGCAGAGAGAGAAGAGTAGGCATAAAGACTAAGAAAGCAGGTATGATATTGGGAATGAGCAAGGCATATGCCCTTTAGCCTAAGTGAACACATGTGATAATAAAGTTGGATGATGAGAGAGCAAAGCAAAGAAGGTATCTTCTTAGAAATGCAAATAAGGAATACCAGTGTCTTCAAGAGAATTTATAAATTAGGGCCAGAGCCAGCCACCAGAAAACTGAGAATCCAATTTAGAAGTGCAGACCAGATGGGAAGTGAGAGAGATCAGGCCTTTCCAGGGATGGCTCCTTTCAAAGTGGGCTCTAAGAGGGGTTTTCCCACTTCAGAGGAAGAGAAACAGGCTTTTGGTAAGAAGTCTTTAGGAGTGGCCTGCAGGTGTTGTCTTCCGCGTGCAATCTGGCAAAGACACCAGCATTTCCATTATTCCTGAGAAGTCTGCCCATGCTGTTTCTCTCCAGAGCCTTCGTGAGACCCAGATCTCTGTTGCTCACTCTCATTTCCGGGTTCCTAGTGCCTAACTACAGAGCACAGATTTAGTGGTGAGGAGCTTTCAATCACTGCTGTGCCCCAGGGATTTAAAACACTAGAGCACTCAGACATGTTCTTCTGGCCTTAGTCTTGAATTATGGTGACAGGTTAGAACCTTGAACTTCCACACTGAAAAACTGATCCAGTCTTGCTAAGGCTACCTTCTGATATTATCATAGAATATATTTTTCTTGCCAGGATAGAACAAGATGTCTCTCTCCCCACAGGGCTCTGGAAGATGGATCCCTAAAGACCTCTAAATTAAACGTGACTCATTTCATATTTTAAGGAAAGAGGGTATGGTTGCACTAGAGGTGTATGGAGGTAAAAGTAAAGGAGGGGGTGAAAATATCAAGTAGCTCTAGTGCTACATTTGTCTGAAAAGGGGACATCTAAGCTCTGGGTGCCTGGCCATGAGCCCACCCCAGCTCTGCTGCTCCAGGGTGGTCTCACACCCAGTTTCTCTGCCTTGACTCAGCAGCCTAGGGCCACGCCAAGGGCTCATCACTCTGGTTTTAGATGAAGCTGGATGTCTGCATTGCCAAGGCCACCCTGACAGGCTCAGGAAGCAGGGTGCATCACAGGGATCTGAGAAAGCTTGTGTTACAGTGCGAGCAGAGAACCACAGAGGCAGGAAATCCTAATTCCAGGCCTGCTGAAAACTCACTGGGTGGCCCCAACATGTTAATACTCCTGGCAACCCTCTGCTTCCTCCTGTAAAGGGGGAGGTCAGAAAGAATAAACAATGAGAGTCACATTAAAAACACAAAATCCTGCAGAAATACTAAAGAAAGAATCAATCTCAGCACTAAGGAAAAGCCTCCAGCAACTCCTGTTTCCTGGGATGAAGCATAGACCCATGGCTGTGAATTACTCTGCAGCACAGTGTCACGGTGATACTCTGGCATATCAATAGCTCCAACTACCAACATGTGCTCAGTACCTTACAGATCACTAGGTATAATTTGATATGGAGAAATACTCATTTGTTTCTCAGAATAGCCTGGTTAGAAAGGTAGATGCAACATCTCCCCTTTTCAGAGGAAATTTCTGAGAAGTAAAGGGCTGATATGACTCACTCAAGGCCTTATATCCAGTAAAAAGCAGAGCCAGGCTTGGACACTGGTGTTCTGGCCTGCGATCTAAAACTATTACCAGTGAGAAATAAATATCTTTGTGATATTTATGTTCTAACAAAGCTAACATATCATAAACCTCCATTTCCTGCCACTGTGCAGAATAAACGGGGGAGATGTATGGTTTGCTTTGCTGAATCGTCTTTTTTTTTTTTACGCTTGCTTTTGTGTCACCAGAGTACTATTGCTGATTAGGCTTGTTGAGGTTTGGGAAAAGTTCCTATAAGTTGAAGAATGAACAGTACCATTATGTAGCCTGCATTTCTGATTTCCTAGAATGACAGGCAGAGCCCAGTGGGAGCATTCCCTGAAAGCCTGGGTTCTTGGCCAGAACTCATGGCTTACGCCTGTTCCTAAGACCCAGTCTATCACGAGCAGCTGGTTTCTAAAATGATATTTCCCATATAAAGCCTGAGAATAAGACTGGCTCACCCCACAGAGCCCACTCTTATCCATCACTAGCATTTGGCCTCCAGCTTGGGTTGGGACAACAAGGAAGTAAACCATCCCTTAACCTGATCCTCTTGGTCTACAGATATTAATAAAACGGAACCTGCCGTGTACCAGCTGAAAGATCCTAAATCCAGCGACATCTCCATCTGCCTGTTCACTGATTTTGGTTCTGAACTCAATGTGTCAAAAGCCATGGGGCCCGAAGTGTCTAACACTGAGAAAACTGTGCTAGACATGAAGTCCCTGGATTCCAAGAGCAATGGTGCTTTGGCTTGGAGCAATAAAACGGATTTTGAGTGTTCAGATGTCTTCCCAGAGGATCCATTCTACCCCAGCTCAGGTGAGTGCTACTCATGTAAGCAGAGGACCAACTCCTAAGTTACTTACCCTTTTAAAAGATCAGGCTGATTACTGTGTGAAGGACAGGTGGTAGGCTAAGAGCGAAGAAGAAGAAGGGAAACAAATGCAGCAGAGAAACAATGGAAGCCTGAACCAGGTGGTAGCAGGGAGTCAAGTGGCAAACACCTTTTGGGTTTCAGATAGAACTATGCAGAAATGAGAAGGAAAATAGAACATCAAGGAAAGTCACTGGATTCTCTGCCTGAGTAGCTGAAACAGCAATAGCCCCATATACTGATATAAAGAAAACAACAGAACAAATTTAGGGGACAGGGATCAAAACTTTGGAACACTTCAAAGTATCTGTCCCTCTAAGGCCCTTGTCCTGTGTATATGCCTCACACTGTCTCTGTTGGAGCTCTGTTGGACAGCCTGGAACATGCCCAAGGGCAGAGTCTATGTTGATGGTTCTTTGGGGCCCACACTGTGCAACTTGTATTTGGCACAGCCAGTTCTGTTGAGTGAATTAAACGGCACCCAGAAGCGAGGGTGTTGGTCCTGCTGGTCTCCCTCCAGCAGGTGCCCCCACACAAGAAGTTCCCTCTAGACCTTGCTACAAGGAAGAAATGAAAAGCTGTAGATACTGTGTTCACTGGCTCAACAACTGGGAGGTCTGGGGTGGGACAGTCGGCATACTCTGGATGCTAAGAAAATTTGTTTCTCCTTTTAGACTTTCCCTGTAATGCCACCTTGGTGGAGGAAAGCTTTGAAACAGGTAAGAGAGGGGCCTAGCCCAGCTTTGCACATCACTAGGGAGGTGAGGGACCCACAATGCCACCAGCTGGATAGAGGAGGGCTCCAGGGTAGTGCTTCTAGGAATAAAGTCATGAGGAGTGGGAACATCAGTTCAAGACCTGCTCCAAGCTGCCAGGGGTCATTCTTGAATCCCTCCCAGCATATCTAACTGTCTTTTCCATTTGAGGATGAGTCTCCAGTTTTAAGTAGGGCAGTAGCTCACTCCTAGGCTTGTTTTCCTTTCAGTAGCTCCATGGTATAGAGAGTCAAAGAGAGCTTCTGGGTGTCCAGCTATGACACTTCTGATGCCCTGCCCTTTGGTATAGCTTGGGACACTTTCCATAGGCATAGGGTTTGCCCTCTTTCAAGAAACTCACACAGGCTGTAGGCAAAGGTCCTGTCTGTCAAAAGTTCCCAGCACTCCTGGCCACCTACCCTCATTTCCCCATGAATTGTTCTTACTGAGTCCTCCTTCCACCAACCATGAGATTGTGGTGATAAATTCCAAGCATCTACCCCATCCTCATCTCCAGAGGGGCTCAGAAATAAAACAGAGACCAAGTCCAGTTGGTATTTTTGTTTTAAAACACCGTACTGTTGACTCTGGAGGAACACAAAAATATGTCTGCACAGGGATGTGCACAGAAACTCAAAGGAAGAGGCAGATGCTCACCCACCACCGCCTGCTTTGGGGAAAGCCACTGGTGTCATGAAGAGCTGTCCAGATCTCTGGTGTACACGCCCATGACAGCTATGGCCTCTTTGTTTTACAGATATGAACCTGAACCTTCAAAACCTGACGGTGATGGGGCTCCGAATCTTCCTCCTGAAAGTGACGGGATTTAACCTGCTTATGACACTGCGGCTGTGGTCCAGCTGAGGTGAGAGGGGATCAGAGCTGGGGTAAAGTGGGACTGAGTCCCCAATCTTGGAGAACAAACCTTCCCACAGGGATTTGCTTTTAAATCCTAAATCTAGACCCACCAAACTGTTTCCTCCTGTTACAAGTTCCTGTTGTTAATACCAATGGCCTAAACATTTGCATAACAAAAGACACTCATTTCAGTCTCCTGGGTGTGAAGAGCAGTTGTTACTCCCCATTTTAGAAATGAACAAACTGAGGCCAAGTAACCCCAAGGACCATGTGCTAATGAGTGGAAGCAAAGAGAAACTCAGACCCTGACTCATTTATACCATACACTTTTATTGAGCCTCTTTCCCTGTGTAACTGAAGGGGCCCCCAATTCCTTTCCTCGTGTCCTCTCTCTCCAGCATGGCTCTCTCAGCTCAGTATGAGGAGACATTATATCCCTTAACCTTAACCTGGCCAGAGCCTCTATGCCCACCTCCCCCAGGGTCCCCAGTCATCTTGCTGACAAGAGCAACCTGGTCCACTACTATCCAAAAGAATTCCAGGGTCCATCTGCGCCTGGTACACAGCCCATACAAAGCCACCTCTATCATATCCCTACCAATCCTGGTCCTCCGTAGTACCCAGCCTGACTTCTGCTCTTCCTCATCCCAGGTCAGCAAGACTGTGTTCCTCTGCTCCTTCCTCCCCCTCTTCAAGCAGAGGGGAGCTCTCCCATCCCACAGAGAAGAAGACTCCCATTGTCTCTCTGACCACCATGTCAATGCTGAATTTGTGATGAAGATTCCTGAAGAACTGCCAAACCCTGCTGCCACCCCCTTCCCCATTCCCTTATTGCTGCTTGTCACCATTCACAGCAAAGATGGGGCTGTGAAGAAATCCCTCCCCCTCCACAGTGACTGCCTTTGCTGTCCCACTGGGTGACTGGTCCTCAGTGGGGTCTCTAGTTTCTGCTGAATGTACTGAAGAGTTTTTACTTTTTAAATAGTGTTCATAAAGAAATACAGATTATTCTCTCTCACAAGATGTGGAATGACATGATCTCATTCCAGTGGTGGCGAACCTATGGCATGCATGCCGAAGTGAGCTGTTTGTTACCATTGAAAGCTCTAAAAGGTTCGTCATCATGAGCTAGACAGACCTCCCTGCTATGCTGTGACTTGCACCACACTGTATATTATTCTGCTGCCCTTGGCTTCATTAAAAGTGATCAGAAGAGCAGAGACTCTGTTCCTGTTTGACTGGGTCTGGTTGGGGTCATTTTCTACGTGTTGTTGAGCACTAGCCCGGCAGAGAGAAACCAAGGCATGTGTCCATCCTGCTGTCCAGGCAGCCTAACTCAACAAGCTTCTGCTTGGCAACCTCTTCTTGAAAGAACTTCTAAAAAGTTCCACCAGCAAGCTGTGCTGGGGGCCAGGAAAACCGTCTTTTTGGTTTTCATGCCACACCACTGCACCACCCATAACAGGAAGACCACACACAGTGGTGGCAATGACCTATAGTTTAAATTGGCCAGACGGGGACCACACAGCAAGTGTCCTTGAAATGTCACTCACCATCTCCTGTCCTCCAGGAACATTTTCTTGCCTTTTTCTCAGACTAGACTTCCACTGACACTGCGCATTACCCTACAAATCCACGGCTGGGGACAACCTGCCATTCTGCTGCCCAGGTCCCAGGCCCATGCCCAGCCCCTAGAGCTGCCCAGTCTAGGACAGGGTTGGGAGAAGATCATGACTGCAGTAAGACTTTACATTCAGACCATCCTGGACATGAGAACAAGGAAAGGGAAGGTGAGTTCTCCCTGAAGCCAAGGACTTAGGACAGCAGGACAAGGACAAGGAGAGTGCCCTCAGGGACAAGAAAGGGGGATTCTCTGGGACCCCCACAGCACACTATTCTCTCCCCCTGAGCCTCCCGCTACCAGAGCACCTTTTTCTAGGGACAGGCATGCTGATGGAACCGTATCTCAAAGACCACTCAGTCATCTTTCTAACAACTACCCAGTCAAGACCAAAGCTGAGTGCTTTTTAATTTCCAGAATGGGAAGAAGTTTCTCTCCCAAATACCTCCTGGTTCCCTTGTGTGTCACTGACCACATGAGCCAGAAATATGCAGATCCTTTCAGTTACTGCTTCTCGTTGTGCTGGATCTTCCAGTTTTAACAGGTGTCTGGTACATGTCCCTGCCTCTGGGAGCTTCAGCATCACCACCCATAAAATGTCAGCTAGGACCGGAGGTCCCTGTAGCTCCATGCATCTCTGAGTCCACAATCCCTGTAGAACTAAGAGCCAGCATCCCATCGCCTGGTCGGCCCTATCCAGGGTGCCCACAGAATCTCCAGCTCTTTCTAAGCTGTCTTATCTCCAGCCTAAATAGAATCCCTTTGAGATCACTACAGGGAAAGGCCTCCAGGTCACTCTCACCATGCAGGACAGGCACTGTCTTCTCCAGGTGGGACTGGCTACCTGCAGGGAACTCCAGGAGGCTCTTCCTTAAAATTGCCTCCTCCTCCACCTCACAATGCCAGATTCTACCACTGGGAATTTCTTTTAATTAAAGCATTCTCTTCCCCGTATTAAATGAAAATGCCCCTGGGAGGGTTAGTAGAGCAAGCCTTTATCGACTGTTAAAAACTCAGGGCAAATTAGTTTCTCTTTTTTTCCCCCTAAGGTGGTAATTCACTTTGTTCTATAGCAAAAAAGATGCAGGCAAGGAAAGTGTGGGTGGCTGCAGAAGGTCTGCCCTGAGAGCTGGCTGCAGCCATGCTAAGGCTGAAGGGCACATGGCGGCTGAGGCAGAGGGCAGAGCTAGAAGGCAGTGAGGAGACCAAAGACAGATCCCTTGTGGACCTTGGGGGAGGCCCAGACTGAAAGAGGCCTGAGGGAACCTGCAGAGTCAAGCCAGCCCTGTTTCCCAGGAGGCAGGGCCAGTGGCCACTGGTGCCCTCGGGTCACCTAACAACCCAAAAGAGGAGATGCAGCACAGGCTGGGAATCCATCCACATCCATCAGAAAATAAAGCTTCCTCCTCTCAAGCCTAGCCCAAGGTAGACACAGGATGACAAGCCTGGCAAGGGAGAGGCCAGCAGGAGAGCAGGGTCAGCTCCCCACTCCATGAGAAATTTCCATCTATAACCAGGGTTCCTCCTGCCCAACAAGAACCTTCCCTCATGTCTGAAGCTGTTAAGCCTACGGCCAGTGAGGACTAAGGCCAGAGGGCTGGACCAGGAACAAGTGGGTCAAGGGTAAACGAGTGTGGTGCCACAGGTGAGTACTTTATGTGCCTCTGGCCACTCACATCTGATCCTAGGGCCACCTGGAATATCAGAGGGAATTAAAGTGGCCTGTGGAGAAGCCCAAGAGAAGGGTTCCTGTGCCCACTGGGAAAGTTGGCTATGGAACTGGGCATTGTTCACCCTGGAGGAAAGAGGCAGCTGAGGAAACCTGGAGACATGGTCCTGAAGAGCCCCAGTCCTGTAAGTCGGGACCAGGGACTGCACCTGCAGCCTGACCACCCTAGACCCTGGCTCAAAGAGGAAGGGCTAATGTCCCAAATGAGCTACCAGAGCTAGCTGTAGAATGGACTTCTCTGACAGATCCCCTACTGCCCCTAAAGCCCAGGAGGCAGAAAAATGGACCAAATGACCCACCGTGGCCCAGGCCTAGGACTTGCCAGGGTTGTCTGAAACTACCCTCAGAGGCCTGCCCTCTGACAGCACATGGGCCCACAGTCCTGGCAGGAAAGGGGCAGGCATGTGGGTGCTTTAGGAACATTGGTGGGGTCTCCCAGTCCAACAGAGCAGTCCCAGGCTGTTGCCCACCACCGGAGGGGCAGCCATCTGAATCTGAAAAGATTGTTACTTGTTTGCTTCATCTATAAAACCAGCTGATATCCTCTTATTGTCAAGTAACATCTCAGCAAAGAAGTCGGCTCAAAGGTGCACTCCAGGATAAAAAGTGTGCCTTGCTTATCTCCGTGTCCCCAGTAGCTAACACAGTGCCTGGCACACAGCACATGCCACCAAATGAAGCATGAATGGCTGACACCATGAGGCACTGGAGAGGGACCTGAGTGTGAGGGGTAGGAGCACAGGAGAAAGGAAAGTGGGGATTAATAGATGAGGTAGCTGGGTGAGCCACTGTTTCCTTTTTTTTTTTTTTTTTGGTACTGGGGATCAAACTTGGGACCTTGCACTTTAGAGGCAGGTGGCTGCTGTCTCCATTTTGCTAAAAGCTAATAGTACCTGGAAAGAACTATCAGAAAAAACAAACTCTGAGTGGTAGCCCCCTTGGCCAGGGGAGCCCCAGGCAGGTACTCATCCAACAATAAAGCATAGGGGATGGCCACTCTGGGAAGCACGCAGGCCTCCGGAAGTCTGAGCTCCAGGCACATGTGACCACACCAAGGTCACTTTAACATCTCTCTTCATGTTCTGGCCGTGACCCATCCTAAGCCCCATCTCCAACCTACTTTCTCCAACCAAAGGTGGGCAGAAGGGTGCCTGAGATGGGTGAGTGAGGGGCAGCAAGCTTGGCATGCTCATTCTCACTAATGGATACTCTGATTGCTGGGAGCTACAGGACTCAGTGTAAAGGCCACCCAGGAAACAGGGAGGCTTCCGGCCTCCTTTCACAGATATACACATGCACAGGGTTTCCTCTAAGTGCACTTTGAAATTAATAACCAGGTCAGACATTGAGTCACCAGCCAGAAGTAGAACAGGAAGTGGACAAAGTCTCCACTTCCCTCCAGGTGTTGGGGTTGAGCAGCCCCCTCCCATTTCCATGACGTCATGGTTGCTGACAGGGGCAAATAGGCCACCCTTTGAAGCTTTCCCGCAAAAGCCACATCCTCTGGAAAGAAAAGTTAAAAATACAGAGTTAGAGATAGCATCACCCCAGGCCACGTGCCAAGAGGAGGCAGGCTGAGCCGTTACACCACCAGCCAGCCACAGGTGCAACAAGAAGCCCACCAAACCACACTGGAAAGGGCGGGCAGGCCCCTCTGCTGACTTGCACCCACGCTGAGAAGCAGGCCGGGTAGGCACCACTGCTGAGAAACCTCCCTCACCCCATTTCTGCTGCCCTAAGATCAGACTTTATTAGACACTAAGTACAGGACAGACCTGCAAGGCTTAGGTCCAGCCCACTCCTCAATAGGCAGAAGGGATGTGGGGCTACCTCAGCCCACACATGGCTGGGGCTGGCTCTCCAAGGGCCATTCCCACCAGTGGCCCCACACTCACTGGCTTCCACTCCACGCTGAGAATGAAGGGCAGGGTGGTACCCCAAATGAACATCTGCCTCTCAGGCACCTGTAGACCAGGATTCTGCAGGAGAAAAACCACAGAACCTGACCAGAAAAGAGGAAAGAGCGGCAGACTTGGATGTCCTGCTCTGTGGCAGTGTCCCCGTCCACCCACCTGGGGGCAGCAGCACTCCACCAAAAAGAGAGCAGCACTCTCTTCTCCCTTGGTTGGTTATTCTGAAGAGGGACAGCCCCCCCAAAGCTTAGGAAAACCTCTTTTCAAAGGAAAATAAAATGCCAGGTGATTTTCATTTCATAAGCTTCTGCCTTGTGCCTGTGACTGCACTGGGTTCCAATTCTGTGATCCTGTCATCCCACAGAGGAGAGCAGGGCTAGGATTAGGCCTGCAGGCAGCAGGGGGCACTGTCTGTCCAGAATCATGAGACCCAGCTCACTGAAGGGAGCCCAGAGAGGAGCTGGGAGCAGAGTGGGAGCTTTGGATCAGAATGGGGAAGCCTGAGCTGGCCCAGGATTGGTGACTTCACTGGCCTTGTGCCCTGGACAGGCCATTAAGCACCCATAGTCTGTTTCTGCATAGGACTAATGCTCTCTCGTAGTTTAAGAAGCAAGACTTTCTTACACATAGTATACAGTACTTCCCTTGTGCCAGACACTGTGCCAGGCTCTGGGAATTTGGTTTCTATACAAACACTAACTCCTTAGAGATGAAGTTCAAGAACAGGCATGAGGAATCACTGATGATAAGAATCAGAGCACCAATTGCCTCTAAGAGAGAATTGATTGGGAAGTGGTGTGAGGGAGCCTTCAGGAAACATTCTGTACTTGATCTGGGTATACACATGGCAAATGCATCAAGCCATAAACCTCACACTAGTACACGTTAGTGTGTATAAATTATGTCTGTAAAGTACCATTCTTATTAGATATACACGCACAGAATTCCTGAG